CAACTTGAAATGTTACTAGTGACAGTTTTTGCCAATTTAGTTCATATGTAGAGTCTGTATAATCAATTTGCACGATTTTGCTTTGCTGTTTTAAACTTTATTAATATGTAACGCCATGGCCAACCAGACAGAAGTCTGAGATTTGTTAATGAACTATGGAGGTGTTCACCTGTTGGTCATCACTTTAAATCATGAATAGCTCAACAGGAATTTAATAGTTGTTTCTACAAAATGGATATTTAGGAGCTCCTACTCAAAATCAATGAGTCCTATGTCTTGCTTTCATGTAACAAATTCACTAGCATGCTTTCTGTTAGATTGTGAACTCCTTGGATTCAGACTGTCTTTGTTGTGTTTATAGGTACATAAATACCTTTCCAATGATGAAAATGATTAGGCCTGTAAAGCAAGAATTACACTTCTTTTTCTCACTATAAACTTGTTTAATTGAAGCTGCAGTAGACAAGGAGATGCAGTGAAGTAAATACAAATATTAAAGATGACCCTTTATTATTTTGCATTCTGCTTTATGATTTTTTTCAAAAAGACTTTGAGGTTGTCAACACCGTAGTATGATAATTTAAGGAAAAAATTAAAAACATTTTAGAGGCAAGTGCTTTTTCTGTGTCACCTCTTTGTTGGTATACTCTTGTATTCATTTCTACAACAGTTATTTTTCTGAATGTAAAAATAAGTTAAGAGCCAGAATAAAGCCCAGGTGTCTCTGGGGTTCTTGTCCAAAATAATCTTTAACTTCATTTCTCATTCTTCTCAGCAGCCTCTTAGCCAAAAAGGCACCTAAAATAAATTCAAGGCACCTAAAATAAATTCACCTTATCTTAACTTTCAGTTAATTTAGGAAGCTATGGTTCTTGTTTTACTGTGTCTTGAGGAGTTGGACACTGAAATATATGTCAGTGGCTGAGAATTTTGAGATACAGCATAACTTACGTGTGCTTCCAGCAGCATGGACTTCAGTACACTACAAAATAGCCAGAACTGTTTTCATTCAGAAATGTGGCCACTCTGTAGAGCACTTGGGTAAGGAGTAAGAATTGTGGGCTCCAGACTGTCCTCAGTCTGATCTCCTTACTCTTAGAATAAAGTCCTAATCACCAGATTAGCAGAGTGACCTTTACATCTGAATTATTCTGCTGCAAAGAAGGCAGGATATTTGGGTTCGTAACACATGAATTTTTCTGATGGGCTGCATTGAGGCTACAAGAATGTTCTGCTGAGTTACCAAATGTTTGGGTGTATTTTCTATTTTGCAGTGCATGAGAATTTTCAGTCCAGCAAAATTTTTCCGCTTATAGAAACAAATGGTTGTCGCTTCTGTAGTTATAGTGAAGCAGTAGTTAATGCTTGCTTTGTCCAACACATTGTGGCTGACTGCAGTTCACATCTATGAAAGCGTTTGTATGTTGCTTTATTCTTATTTAGTCTGTAATGGAGAACTTTGAATTGTTCATTTGTAAATGCTCAGTACATTACTAAATGATGGTTTTAACTATCTTTTCAGTATAAAACACAGATAATAGAGTCCTTTCATGTGTGCATTTGAGTGAATATTTTAAAATCTCTTTTTTCTTTACTAGGAAAACGTTCTCTGTAGGATTTAATTTTTTTACCAAAAACTACTAGCTAGAAGCTAATTTTGAAGCATCAGGAGTCAGATGACAACAAAATAGGGTAAAAGGCAACAAATATAATTGCTTATCTGCTGTTTATAGATTGTCTAAAGAGCAGCCGTGAAGTTGACACTCAGTTTCTGAGTGGCAGCTGTGAATTTGATGATTACCTTGTCTGCTACCGAAAACTGTAAGCATCAGCAACTGTTGGCACACTCAGGAAAATGGTATTGCCTGGTTTATCTGTTTTCCTTTTTAAAGATTATCACCACCTCTGCTGTGTCTGAGATTGTTTTAAATGAAAACTTCAGTTTTTCTAAAATTTATATCTTTGAAAGCCATTTTTTTTCACTCACCAGTATTTTTTCCCCCCTTCTCCATGATATTTCATGTTTAACATTCAGTCATGACTACAGAATACAGCTGAATATGTTACAAAGAGTGATTTGAGTAACCTTCGCTTAGATTATAAAATCTGAATGATCACTACAACCACACCCATAAAACAATGAACTTTCATAAAAGACAAATTAAATAGAAGGAAAACGGGCATCTCACAAGGACAGAGTGAATGTGGAGAGACCTTTTCATTCCCAGGTATGTCAGGTGGGTTATAATTGGCTCTAATTAGCACAATATATTCAGCTATAAAAATTCTTTACCTTGAAGCTCAGTGACACTCAAAGATGTGAAATTTCTTTCTACCTTTGAAAACATCAAAGAAAGTGCTTCCAATCTAGCTTTTACAACTGAAAGTTCAGTGATCAGTGCAGGAAAGAGGCAAATACATCAACAGACATAAAGAATATTGATCTCTGGCTGGAAGAACTCTTAAAGAGTTAATTGGTCAAACCAGATTTCATTGTGTATAGTGAAAAATATATCTATGTATATCAGCACCAAATGCCAGTTATACTTTCAGCAATATGTAAGAAAAATTATGGACTTAAATAAATGTGATCAGAATCAACTTGAAGATTTCTTAGTTACCCATTCAGTTGTGTGATGATCCTGATGTCTTTCAGTTTCACTTTGGAAAACTGGATTGTGGAAGGTTAGCTGTGATCACATGCAGGTTATAGTGCATTAATTTTTTTATCCTGTTATATGTGTTCATAAAATGTTTTAATTTCTTGAAAGGATCTAATTGATAGATCTGTGTAGCAGAACTATATGAAATTCTGAAATAACCATGCCAGTGCCAGCTGGGTACTTCTCATTATTATGGGCAAAATGATGATTGAATGTGTAATTGAAACTGCATCATAATTTTTATTATCAACACTCATTTTCAGTTGCTTATAATTTTTCTAAGTTGTACCATGGAACTTTAACAAGAAACACTTTTGAAAATAAGATTGGCAATACTAGAGACAAAACAGCCTAATTTAAAGCAAATCATGGAATCATTCTAGTTCCATGGCCTTGTTAAAACACATGTAAAAACATGATGGTAGCTTAATGTGCTAAACAAAGTGGTTTTGTCCTAATACAAGAGAGCTCATTACAAATGAACTTTTATAAGTAGTTAATTTCCATGGATTGACAACATAATAAGGATGCAGGTCATGGTCCAGCAGAAGATAGATGCAGAAGCTAGTCCTTTTGGTCTGCTCTGTTGCCTTAGGGAAAATTTCAGTGATTGAGGAGTCAGCCAACACACCCTTTTAGTTATAGTTCCAGCTTTTTCATCTACTTGTTAATTTTTTTCTTTTTTGGCATACTTCTATTTTCTCTGCATAGTCTGGCTTCTCTATAACAGCAAACAGGTGTAGTCATCTGCCTGTATATCTAATGCTTATTTTACTAAAAGTGCAGAGTAAAAAGCAATGAAACTGTTCACGGAAGAAGAAAGAGAGTTTTGAGAGGAAGGTATCAGCTGAGAATAACTGAGGTTTTGTTTCAGTTATGGTGTGAAAAAATGACACTGTCACTTGTTTCTGTTACCTGCAACTTCCTATTTTCTTTTCCATGTGCTTTATGCCACAAGATTAGATGGAGTTCCGTGGCTTAGATGTCGGGCCAGCCCACTGTCTTAGGAAGCTAAGAATAATGCAAAATTGGGGATAAAATAGGAGCATGCATAGTGTGCAGCACCGAGTTAGGAAGGTAGCTAGTAGCTGCCTAACGTTGGGCTCACTTGCCCAAGGCTGCATCCACTCATGCAACCATGCAATCCAGGTACTGAATTGATTAATGCAAAAAGCTAAACAGACTAGAAAACTTCGGTCTAGTGATGGACTCTTGACAAACCTCAAGAGGTACTTCTTCATATATGCACTGACGATGAGAACAGCATATCAAATACGTAAAGTTTTTAATCTAGAGAAGGGAAGACGTTTCTTCATGTAGCTGTTGATACTAAAGTTGTGATCTCTGCCTTCAGCTATATTGTGTCACTATAAGATGATTGGGAGGTTGCACAACTTTCTTTTAAAAGAGTTGGGTATGGAAACCTATTCTCATCAAATGATAAGTATTATTCTTTTAACCTTACTGTTATCTCCAGCAAATTTATTAGGGTTGTAGTGCATATGCTTAGCTGTGCTGCCCATACTGACTGCCTTGAATATGGTGCTTCTCATAGGTAGAACTAGAGATGAGGACTGATTTCTTACATTCCTTCACACATAGCATGAAACTGGTGAATCACAGGTAAAAGGTATATGTTGATTGAGTCACGATGACAGCTGCTGAACTGGAGGAGGTTTGCATGAAAGCTCTGAGGCTTATGATTTTTGGTGCTTCTTCATAAAGGATGCACAACGGTACATATGAAGAACTTTGAGGTTTCAAGCTAAAGCACTCGAAAGTGAGTGTACGTCAAGGTCTCTGGCTGCTTCTGTGTATGTATGCAGAATGACTGCTACAATGACATAATCATTGTTTTGCATGATCGCTGTATGATTCAGTATGCAGAATGGATAACAAATGGAGTAAGGATTTAGAGAAGCTCTCTTTTACAGTTACGCTAGCATCTAGGGAAGCTGGATGGCATTCCTTTATCTGACAGATTTGGGTGGGATGTCAAAGGGCACTCAAAAGAAAAAGAAAAGGATGTGTACGTTAGCACTGACGAAAAGATTCCATAAGCAAGCCTGAGTTTGGTACCACATAGCTTTTAAGTAACTGGTGCTGCAATAATGTTCATCTAGTATGTGTAAAAATTGCTAGATTGCTAGTTAATGGCAGATTTTGCACTTAAACTATGGGATGGATTTCAGCTGAAGGAAACCATAAGGAATATGGTATAGTATGTTTTGGAATAGATTAGATCCACAGAGTTAAAATGGCTTTCTAGTGCAAATTCTGACTGATTTTAATGTTAGGTTGTTTTTTTTTTGTTTGTTTTCTGTTTCTGTTTTACAGTGTAATGTGGGAACCAATGGGAGACGGTAAAAAGATTATTTCACTGGCTGATAATAACATATTATTGTGGGATTTGCAGGAAAGTTCAGCCAAAGCTGTGGTAAGAATTTTTTTTTAACAAATCATGGTATACTTGAATATAGTAGAAACAACGACATTCCCTAGCCTAGAATTTGCTAATCTTTTAACTGCTCAGAAATATCTTGTTGACTTTAATGTGGGTGGGAGAAATGAATACTCTATCATTTGTCTTGAATGCAAGTGTTTAAGAGTAGGCAACTTAGTATTTTTGTATCTGTTGCTAGTTGTTAAATGTTTTCCTTTTTCTAGAGTTGCCTTTCCTTTCCTACTGGTTTTACAGTGAATAATCTAAAATAAAGCAATGCTAACTTGATGAATGTGTACGAGAGAAAAATTGGTGATTGGTAAAGCCAAAGGTTATTGAATTCAGATAATAGTATATTAACTCATGTTGGTTAATACCTCTATTTAATTTACAATGCTTGTTGTATATATAAGCATAATATAAATTTCTCTATTTACTGTGCACTGCTTTGAGTTCTCAGTATGAATTTAATCTAGTACCATACTGTCTCTTCAGATTATTTCACTCATTGTTAAAACCATCTTATTCAGGAACATATATGAAAAGGTGTCATTGGCATAGATTTCTGTCAGATTATGCCACATCTTACAGATAAACAAAAAAAGTCTGCTTATTTATGTATAATGACATAGGTTGCATATAGAAATCTTGGAATGTTTCTGTATAGAGTCATTTAGGTCAGTGTCTGTCCTTAAAAATGGAAACTGATTATGTCAAGGACATTATTATTCAGTTGATCTGTTGTCACTTCTTGAGTTAACTCCTCGCTTTGACTTGTTCAGGGTTAGTTTCTTTTCTCAGATGCTACAGAATCAGATTTTTCAACTGGAAGTTGCTTAAAGAGTCAAGACGTGTCCATAAACTCTTCAATGTTGTACCATCTGACTGTGTGCAAACAGATGAAGTCTTGAGTTGCTATTATTTTGCGTTGTATCAATGTAATGTAATATAGTTTAATCCTTTATGTTCATAATTAAGCCCTTTGGGTTCCTTCACTAGATGAGGAAACTTTAGTGCTTTTTTTACCTGGAACTTCAATCTTCAATCAGTGTTATATTACCTTCCCAGGCTTCTTCAAAGTAGTGTTTGTTTTTATCAAATTGATGTTGAGAGTTTCTGAAGACTAACCTCCAGGACCTTGTCTGTAGCATTGTATCCACTGGATTTGCATTACTCCTACATAAGTCAGTATTTCTTTTCTAATGCCTGTGAAACACACAGAATTTTTTGGAATGCCTTCTTTAAGCCTGTTGAAAAACTGCTTTTGGGGGTGGTGCTGCTTCTATGCCATAGCTCTTCATGTCTCTTTGAAGTGTTGAGACTACTAGACTACTTAGCATTTTCCCTTTCTCCTTTCTGTCTTTGGGCAGCTCTGTCCTCTCTTGCTGAAGTTCTTTCGAATGTTAATTAGTTTTTTCACTCACTATCCCAACCACTTTCTCATAACTGTCTCAGATTTCTTCCTAATCCATTTTCTTTTCCTTCTATTGCTAGAATTGGGATCTGCATAATTTTGGAGAGGACTAGACTCTTCACCAAACTATGTCATTGCAGCACCATTTTGGAAATCGGTATTTCTGTCCTCAAGGCAATATTCAGCTTGCTGATCCCTTCAGTATTTCAATTAGTGTTCCTTACCTAGAATATCTTTTATTCTGTTACTTTTAAAATATGCCTGTACTGCATCAAATATTGGTGGCAAAATAAGGACTCCAGAAGGCAAAGTAAGTGATAAAGGAACTAAGGGGATTTAACTTGTGACATTTGTTATATGCTTATAATTGATAAAAGGAAACAAGAAATACCAAAAGTGAAATTCTGCATCAAAAAACCTGCTTCATCTAATGAAGCTAAGACTATGAAAGTAGATGTATCAACCCTTGACTGACATCTTCAGACAGGAGCATTTTGAAATGTCTGTTCAAAACCTTAGTTTGCAGAAGTTAGGAGTGTTTAGATTTTACAGTCAGGCTCTCAGGAGACCTGATGTAGAATTTGACTGATCCTCTATATTTCTGTCTAAAATAATCTAGTATCCCATGTGAGTCCACTGTAAATTAGAATTGCTTGTGATTAAAATTTTACCTGGAAATAATTGTTTACTGTTATCAGTCTTCTGCCCCAGCAATTTTAAGTTACTCTTAGATGATATTTGACTCATCACCGAGTCAGTGACCATTTTTAAAATGAAGTTTAATAGTGAAAGTCCATGGAAACTTGACTCTCAGAAAACATATCTCCAGGCATCTAAAGCCAGGTGAATCTCTTCTAAGATGGCTGGTATTGTTGCATTCCTGTTGAATTTTTGTCTGCAACAAATTTGTCTCAAACACGTCTGCGGGTTCCTGAGTTACCCAGAGTCCAGCTGAAAAAGACTGTGAGGAAAGCATGAGCATCTCTTTAAAATGCCTGCTGTAGACTTTCTAGTAATTAAAATGATGACAACCTGAAGTCCAGTATCTGTTGTGGTTTAACCCCAGCCAGCAATCAAGCACCACACAGCCGCTTGCTCACCCTCCGCTGCCTCGGTGGGTGGGGGAGAGAATCAAAAGGGTGAGAGAGAGAAACAAAACCAAGGAAAAACAAGTAATGCAACTGCTCACAACCCGCTGACCGATGCCCAGCCCGTCCCCGAGCAGCAATCGCTGCCCCCTGGCCAACTCCCCCAGTTTATATACTGAGCATGACGTCATATGGTATGGGATAGCCCTTTGGCCAGTCTGGGTCAGCTGTCCTGGCTGTGCCCCCTCCCAGCTTCTTGTGCACCTGGCAGAGCATGGGAAGCTGAAAAGTCCTTGACTAGTGTAAGCACTACTTAGCAACACCTAAAGCATTGGTGTGTTATCAAAATTCTTCTCATACTAAACCCAAAACACAGCACTATACCAGCTACTGGGAAGAAAATTAAGCCAAAACCAGGACAGTATCATAGCCTTTTTCAGGCCTAGAATCAACTGCTCGGTATTTCTGAAATCTTTGAAGATTACCTCCTTCCTAAGAGATTAACTGCCTGTTAGAATCCATAGAAGGCTGAAAAACAGTAACTGTTATTCTGTAGCAATTTTATATTTGCAAAAACAAGCAAAAAATAACACTCCACCCCATGCTTTGCAGCTGTAGTATTTAGAATGTGAGAGAGAAGTCTGTGAGAACAAGTAGGTTAGAAGACAGATAGCATTGGTCGGGGTAAGCAATAAACACGTTTTCCATTTGGTTATCACCATGTACAAGGAGTGTTTGTAGGCCAATAAGCTGTTGGTGAAATAGTGATTTCTTTCTGTGTATATCCTCTTTATAAGGGATTGTTGAATGCAAAATATGTCGTAACCCTAAAAAGCACATGATTTGTATTTTAATGCTTTTTGGTCAGTGTAAAAACACACTTTTCTGGGGTATTAATAAAAAGAGCTTTTTTGGCCTTGAAAACAGGTACAGAACAACCTACAGCAAAAAATCACCTCTCACCAGCATTAAAAAGGGGGCATGTATTTAAAAAAAAAAAAAAAATTCTGAAGAGAGACCATGGACACCACTCACAGTTCTTTTGGAGGTTATAGCTGATTATACAAGGCGTCAGTTGGTGCTGTGTAGAAAATTCTTGCCGGGAAGTTGACATTTGCGTTATATGCAGATACATAGGGAGATTATTTAAATAATAAGAAACATTGTGTTTATTGTTCCTTAGGCTAAAAGGTTGTCCATTTTTCACATCTTAGCCACCTTATGTCTTATCACCTAACACGCTGTTTGGTTCTAGCAGATGGTGACAGGGCAGTAAGTAGCTAGTAAACTTATATATTCTGTAGGGACTGCTGAGAAGAAAAAGTCTTTACAAAATATTCCCATTTCTATAGACTTATAAGTGAAATAACTCTGTATGTGTGTGTGTACATTATTTTAACTGAATAAATCAATAGCCTAGGATTAAGATAATAAAAATGTCAGTGTGTTTGAATTTTTTCCCTTTTTGTCAAAACACGATAGTGTTCAAGTTGAATAACATCATCATCATTAACTAAAAGTAGGATCTGGTCCACTGTATCTGTATCAGGTAATAGAAGTAAGGAGGTATTCGTTGCACTGGTGCAGCACTGGTCTTCCTGTTTTAAGAACACATTTCAATTGCTTCCTTTTTGGTTAGGCATGCATTATAGGCAGTATTAATTTTAATGGCAAGAGGTAAACACAAGGCTACTCTTTATGAACTTTTAATGTTTGTGAAAAAGTTCATCTAAAACTCAGCTGTAGTATTTGTGAAAAACTGAAAATATATGTGTCTTTAAAATTTTGCATAGGCCAAAATTTCTGCTTGCCTACACTGATCAAAACTTTAGAGTATTTTATTGGGTGCACCTCCCCTGTCTGTCTGGGAGTTACAAGTCACATTGTTTAATTAGAATTAGCCTGACGAATTTTAGGGTTCCTGATATTTTCAGAGCTTCTTTGTAATAAAATTACTAGTGTGTTCATTCTCTGAATTAGCTGGTCAGCCTGTCCCAGGAAATGTTTACTAACCATAACTTACCATACAGTTCTGTGGGTTCAGGTTTTTTTTCCCCCCTTTCAACATTTTTTTTGCTAACTTGTTTCTTTGTTACAGTATTTAATACAGGAATATTTGCCTGTATTTGCATTAAGACAAGCTTCTCCTGTCCTTTCGATCGCTCCCTTTATTATTGTTTTGAGGACATTACCTTCTGGGGTGAAACTAATCTTATGCTCACCGCATCATTACCTTTTGCAATTAAATTAGCTATTCTTTGCCATTTATAATCATTAGCTGAACCCAAGACAAGCCCAACCAATCCACAAGGTCTGGGTAGATTCTGCTGAAAAGATGACAGTTAATATATCTGTATATAGACTTTAGTTCAGATGTCACCAAATCACTAGAATTCTTCCTTGGGTAAATGCACTATGTTTGGAATGGCAGATGAGCGCAACAGAATGAAACAGAGATGTTAAAATATAAACATTTTTCTGTTTGCCTTATG